AGAATATCTATGAACAATTGCTGTAACTACAGAAATGTATTTACAGCATAGGTACAATCTAAATGTTTGGTCAACTAATTGTGATCTAGTGTGGGGAAAAATATTATAACTAAAACATGTGAGAGAAACCAATGAAATTTTATTTGGATTTTTGTTGTGCTTATTATCTGACACCACACTTAACCTTGTCACTCTAGGCCTTTATTTGTCCAATTCATTCAGGAAAGACGTTTATGATACCTGATCAGTAGCTGTCTTTCCTTGGACAAAAACCAAATCCTGAATATAATAACGCTTTATCACTACATAACCCTATGTTCAGAAGTAGACTTCCCAACTCTGAAGTCTGGAATAGCTGTATTGCAAAAAGAAGGCAGAATCTTTGTAACACTTAAGCAGAAGTGATATAAAAACACATAGAAAAAAAAAGACTACAAGTTGCTTGTTTTCTGAATCAAAAGACAAGCTAGGAAAGTAATTCAAGTTCGAAATAAAATACGAAACCTATCAACTATAGTGTACTGATGTAGTTAGAACTACATTAGTAGTAGTAGTACTACATTAGTAACTACTAATGTAGTTAACAGCTTTGTCACAACTGCCAAAGTCACCCACAAAATCTCAACGACTTGAGCAAGAAATAAAAAATATATGAAATGTATCTTTAACTAAGAGTAGTGTTAGATTTTTAGGGCCTGGTAATTCTTTTTTTGATGGAACCTTCTCAAGTACTGTATGCTGCACAGAAATATTACAGCTACAAAGGCTTTCACACTTATTTTTATAGGACATCAACTATGCTACCATAATAAACATCCATAGCAAAGCAGAATTAGTATTTTATAACTGTAGAATTTCTAATATTTCAACAGTGACATTCTTACAGAATGCAAGAGTATGTATTATGTTTAATGTAACAGAGGGCCTCTAAAGTTAATGGGAAGTTCTGAAATTACTGTACTTAGTCATTTTCACAGGAAAACACTATTCAGAAATTAGTTCAGGTATCTATCATTTTACTTAGAGTCTTATTTTTGTTGTTGTACATATTTCACTTATTGGAAGTGTCATTGTGAGAATGCCTGTGACCTCTCTGGCATGTGCTTGCAGAACATTGGGACAGTATCTTGTCTGGAATTTTTGCTAATGTGTACAGGGATTGTAGAAATCAATCTGTATCAACTGGAGGGAGGGGAAAAGAGGAAAAAGCAATCAGCATTAAATATATATTTTAGGACTTAAGAAGACTTCACATCTCTCAAAGTAGTTTTCAGATTCACTGCACTAACTAATCTTATCTGGTACAGATTAAAAACATTTCATGCTTAACTACTGTGTGATTTCCTCAGAAGTCTATGAGGATGCAACTGGTATTTTCATTTTAGCACTCACATTGCAAACACTAGTTATACATGGGTAGACTGGGAGAACACAACAATTTCATGAAGCATGTCAAGTGTACTTCTGGTATACCACTGGAAGACAGAAGCTGAAGACAAGTGGCATAGCATGGAGAACTGTCTGCTTTGGACCAATCAGCAGAGGACTGCATTCACCTGGGCTCTCAAACCAACAAGTATCACTAGCAATAATTTCATATGCTGAAGTGGATATAAATTAATTAATAATGATTTGCATTAAATGACACAGACAATCTGCACAAAGCTCAAGAAATATAAAAATACACTAAGAAGCATATGTATCTACTACTGTCTTGCCTTTTTCAGTACTAAACTAAAACCAAGTATTTGGCAATTAGGTGCATTTTGAAGGCTCGCAAAATTAAACTTGGCTTCTTCTGTTTCTTTTATTCATCATTTTATCATTTTATATACATAAAAATGTGTATACGAAAAATACTTATTTTTCCTAATTTTTTTCAGTAAAGCAGTCCACTTTAATTCTACATGTTAGTTGCAATCATATTATATTAAATTTATGATATAAGTATATATAAAATATATATATGTATATATAAAATCAGTAGTTTGAAGCTAAGCTTCTCTAGACATTTCATTATTTCTGTCCTTTGAAATAAATAAGGTTTCTTCATAGCCATATAGTCAAGTTGCATACTAATTTACTAAACTGACTTGCCCACAGTGTACATATACGTCTATGTGTGTAGGTGTGTTTGTATGTACATATGCATATATCGAATAAATTTCTGTACTTACTAACCAAATTTTCAATACTTTCTATATCTTGTTTCCCTGCTACCATATTGATTATGAAAGCAGTATTTGAGAAATATATTGAAAGAATAGTAAATTGGCCACATAGTGGAGGAATTTTTAAAGCCTCTAAGCTTCTCTAACTTAAGTAGAAGAACATTTCCTATATTCACACCACTAAAAGCCAAAGTAATTGTATTGCTTGAATACATTGGTCAGTTCTCACTAAGAGTAAACCGATTTGAGAGATATTATTAATATTATACAAAAGAGAATAGAAATTAAAGCAAGGCATAATTAAGCAATCACAGACCAAATATGTTCAACTGCACCCAGAAACATAAACTATTTTTTACAAGTTTTCTCTGACATAACAGTTAAAGAATTTAAATGAAAAATACGGTACTAAGTTTTACACCATAAAAACCACTACATCTCAAATCAAATTGGAAAGACTTCTTTTTCTCTAGATATTTTTCCTAATGAACTTTTTTATCTATTAAATTAATAATAGGCTTTTACGAAAAATGTACATATTGCCTGGAAATGTCCAAATATATTTCTTTCACAGATGCAAGATATATCTAAAAAAAGTTTCAGTGATACTCTTTGGAATTAACTGTCCTGACCACTTGGGCCCTTTGTAGAATGGCAGATAAAATTAAGATCCACCATGGAAGAACTCATGTGTAGTTTAACAGCCCTAACAGGATGTTGGTGCAAGATCTTGTATGAGACATATGAAGGCAACAGTCATGGAAGAATCTGCAATTCTTGGCATATCTGCATCCTAAAAAATGTCAAGACTGTGTCTTACATAACACCCCAATACCTATATTACACCAGCAGCTATGCCACATCTGGTAGCATTCCTGAATGCTTGAATGAATTCAGAGGCTGCTAAACTGCATAAGCCATGTAGGATCTCATTATTCCAATTATGCACTTCGCATGAGATACCTCTCAGGCTCATGGTATGTCTAGGTCTTATGCAATTAACAGTAACTTGAGAAAAGCTGTATTTGAACTAAAAATGGTTTGAGAAGATTCAGCATCAAAAGTCCACCTTGAAAATTCATCCAAAAATGAGAAAATGGCCAATGATAATAATAAAATATTAAACATAAATGGCCTTATTTTACACTTCATTAATTCTTACAACAAAGCAAAAACTTACTCCATCAGAACAGCAGTGTTTCTACTCTCTTTTTTCAGCACACTGTGCATCATCTGGACATAAACCTAAATTGCCAAATGACTTATGATGTAATGTGTGAGAGAGATCTGAAGAGGGTCGAGAAAATACTTTATGGGACAAAGATACCCAGTATTTTTTCAGTCCCATAGCAAAACACACTTTCAGAAAGGCTCAAGGTTTTGATAGGTTCTTATCAGGGCACTGAGGGAACTGAAAGCAGCTGAAATGCTCCAGCAATGCAACTGGCGTAAACAAGATCCTGGTAAGCACAGGGCTCAATAGAGTCATCTGTGACTCTCTCCCTATAGCCTCTAACAGAGAAAAAGGATACACTGGGAATAGTTTGTGGCTGTCATAGAGCCGGAAGGGGACAGTTTTAGCAACTACTTAAAGCTCTTCCTGGTCACATCGGAGCTGATGTTGGAAAGAGGAAATAGCCCTTATTCCTCCCCACAGTGACAGTTCTGTTTAAAAACTTTGCATTAAAAACTAAGGCGCTGCACAGGGAATACATCACCACTTCATAACCAAATACATTTTTCTTACACGATATGCAAATCAAATCTAAGTTGGTGCTGGGACTGAACCTGGGCCACCGATATATGGCACAGTGACACTACTAAATAAATACTTGAGAAAAGCTGCGTTACTTATTTTTGTATTGAGGCTAAAGTATTTTTTGTGCTTTTCAAAAGCTACTCAGGGTGAGGAAGATTGCTGAAATTTCCTCTGAATCCCCTAGCTGCTCTCTGTTCTCCAACCTCATGAACTGTAAGTAAAGGCAACTGCAGACACTAAAAATGGAACTCTCTCTCTCACCCAATCCGTTCAGAAATACACAGTTGGAAAAATGCAACAAGCAACACTGCTATAAAGCAGAAGCAAGCAACAGCAGTGAAACCATTTGAAACCATTACAAGGACAATTTTACGAAGTCCTAAAAATAGAGTAAGTACAAAAATACAGGCAATACTGGAGTACGCTCAGTAACTTCTGTAATACATTCACAGTTTCATGGAAAACAAAAACAACATATGGCCTACTTGCATGACAGTCTGATTTTGTGCTTGGCATCACAGTTCTCAATAAACCCATGCACTACTTATGCAGCAATTATGTCGAAAAAATCATACAGATATAGCTAAACCTGCCACTATTTGCATTAAGTTATCCTGTTTGCAACTTGTCTCTCATCATTCATAACCTAAAATTTAGTGCATGATTAGTGACTCTTTCTCTCCTTCCATTTAACTTTCATCGATGAAAAATACGATATTCTGAAAAAAGCCTCTCATTTTTAAGGCCAGTGCCAAGTAATATGCTACATTTTCTTTGAGAAACAGTAAGTACAAATACAGAATTTTAGCATACTTCAAGAAAACTAGTAATGTGTTTACCTGTATTAAAAACTGTATCTGACTGAACACACAAATAGCAGGCAGTCAGCCATTCATAAAGAAATGGTTCAGCATTAACATGGTAATAGCATTAATTAATTCTTAATAAGATAATGCTGCTTATAACTGTTTTTCCATGAACAAAGCTTTCATGGTGTTATGCAGTGGACAGGCATATAATTTAAGGAGGAGTTGAATACTATAAAGAGATGAAGCCCTCTATTTACCCACCGGCCAGGAAGAAATCACAGAGCTTCATACACTCTTGAGATGGAGCGATCTCTCCAGTGGCAAGATACAACCATCACACTATGTTACCACGGTGCATTTCCTGCACGAGGAATTACAAATGTCACATATTTTATGTGCCTTAGATGTGATTATAGCACTCAAGTTCTACCAAAATAGTATAAGGTTTGCCAGTATTTCCATTACAGGTTTTTATTTCCAGGTTTGTTTGGAAGTGTTTTTAAAAAAATGCAGCTTGACAAATTTGATACCTGGTATAGCAAACTAGAGTGAAAAATCACTTGTGGTTTTCAGTGTGAAATTTTAGAGTTTTTTGAAACTACTCTTTAGATGTTATTTCCAGGATACTCAGTAGGCCATTTTCCACACTATTTAAAAAGAACCAAAATTTTTTAGAAAAAAATTGCTCTAAGTAGGGAATCTCGAATGCATTTCTGAAGACACAATGACGCATATACTTCCTTCATATATAGAGCTTCTTCTTGAACTAAAAATATTTTTTAATATCCAGGTGTAATCTTAGTTCAATAGTTCCCCCCCCCCCCCCAACTAATGTCTGAAAAGTGGCCTTGTCTAGAGACATCTCTTGGCCTACTTGCCCTTTGTTATTTATGAAATCCCTTAATTATGTAATCATATGATAAATCATAGTAAATCTGAAGGACATTAAACCAAATTATTTTAACCATACAAAAATTCTAGTCTATTTTTTGACTGACGTTTGCATATGGAAGGAAATAAATAGGTTATTTCCAAGGCCATTGTCACATGTAGCTTCAGTGTTTACGAGCTGCTTTAGACATTTTAGCTGTTGAGCATCCAAGCTTCAGTGAATATACATCAAGACAAGACATCACTTTAAGTAGATTTTGTGCTCTTTTTCTCATACGTGTCAGCAGAAAACATAAAGCCTGATTAAATTAATCACGCTACTGTAAATTCAATATAGTGCATAAGTAAAACAGGTAACTTCAAACACTGTTCTGGACTTAGATGACAACTCAAGAGATAAGCAGAAACCTTTCATGTCCAAAATGGCCAAGCTAATGATCAAATGACCAGAAATTTTGTTGTATTAATTTTTTAAACAATCCATAATACAGCCAAGTTTCTCTATAGTTCATGTTGAATTTCCTACTTGCATTCCTAATATGGGGGCCACCAGAATGAAGGTAAACAAACCACATATGGGTTGCACTGGTTTCTTGTTTGTCCCCAAGTGTAAAACAATACTGTTCTATAAAGACTTTCTGTCCCATTTATGCTTAATTGTAAACAGCAAGGATTCCCTAATATGTTTTTCATTTCAAAATCTCATATACCAACTGTTGCGATATCATCTGTCACTCACCTCAGCCACCTGCTGAGTCTCCACTACTTGCTGAGCCAGCACCTCCATGTTGGTTGCCATGGTGAAACAAGATCATTAGAGAACCTGTTTGAAAAGATGCCAGCAACGTCCATCAGGCACAAAAGTTATTTTTTTTCCTTATTATTAAAGAAAGCTCTGATATGACTTTTTGATAATTTACAATACTGTTTGACATTTCTCAAAAATAAGAAAATATGCCACGGATGCGTGTATGTGTGTGCGCACATATATATATACACACACACATATATGTACAGTACATGCATACTGGAACCATACTGTTAAAAAAGCTGAGGCACAGTTATTCTTTTACTTTATAAAGCCTCTAAAGCAGTTTGTGGAATTCACAGATCTCTAAGGCACTTTCCTCAACTCAAGGGAAGAGAAAACTTACAGATAAATTGGTTCTACACTACATGCTGAACAAGGAAACAGCAATCTAAGAATACCGTTTTGAGCAAATTTTTATTGAGTCATTATGTCAAACTGCCATGTTCATCCATATTCTTACGATAATCTTGCACAATAAGGGAAATAAACTGTCACATCTAAAATGTATTTTCTATTACCTAAACTACTTTTTTATTATAATGTGGTAGCATTACCACTCTGAGGAGAAAATACTGCAGAATTGTTTTATCCCTTTGTGAGTGTCTGTACCTTCAACTTAATGCTCTTCAGGGTTTAAAAAAAAAAAAAAGAAAAAGACAAAGCAAAGAGAAAAAGGAGGAGACAAGAAAAAAACCCCACACTTCCAATATATTTTTAATGATCATTATTAGGGCTGTGTTTCTCCAAGGGTAAATTTAATTAAGATTTCAAATTCATGCATTCAGTTTTTAATTGTGACTTGCTCATTACAGAGCCAGAGTTCAGATTCTGACCCAGGTACAGGTAATGAAAAGGCATTCCTGAATGCTGGCTCAATTGATGTTTTATTGAAAACCTTCTGTTGGTATTTCCAAAGCAATCATTTAACATAAAATTAAAAAATACTATGAACAATAGCAATACATGTAACAGAAATATGCATGCATGTCTCTAGCACCAACCTCCCCATTCAAATGCAACTTCTACAAAGCTAACATTGTTGAAAATGTCAAAATTCATTAAGCTAAAAAGAGTAAATCATATTGTGGTAAATTAAATGTGAAAACTATTTTGCATATGTCAATGGAAGACTATTTGTAACAATGCATAATCAAAGTTGAGACATTCCCTATGGAAATCATATTTATGCTAGTTCCTCATACAGCTTGTAATTTTTATTCGAGTGTTCAACTTGCACAGTAAGCTTATGAACTATTTCCACCAGACCCATTTAATGTTGCAGCTTGTGGATGGTTTCTCATTTGTTCAGTAATTCCTTTTCAGTGTTTTCGCTTATTTTAAATTCATTTTTTATGTTCAGCAAGGAAGATAACCATATGCTCATAACATGCAGTTTTCTCAGTGCTTTAAGATGAAGGAAGCCCTGAAGATGAGGTATTTTGTTCCTAAGAATACCCTTCTAAGACCCAATGCAGTCTTTGCTGTGGTACAGCTCTGAGAGATTTGCTGTTGGTGTTGTTATCCACCAAGGTTTTTTGTACTTTCCATCTTCCCAAAACAGCAATAAGCTGAGGCTAGCTGATCAAATCCAACCAGAAGCCCAGAGACCATATACAGCCACGCCAAGTAAGCTTGGTAATGATGCTGACTCACAGAATGTGACACAAGGCAAAACCAGCTTCCTAGCAAAACCCTTGAGCAGCAAAGTTCATAAGAAAAAAAAAAAAATCCCCCAAACAAACCAACAAAAAAGATGGAACTTAAAAACTGCAAGGAGGCACCTGGAGCACCAGGAAAATATTTCCCACGCAATAGGGTGGCAGCCAACGCAGTGCACATAGACGTGCTGCTGTCCAAAATACGGCATAAACCCATCCTCTCTCCCTAAGTTGCAGTGAAATCTCAGAAGAAAGTCATACACTCCATTTGAGATACTCTATGGGTATGGCCCTACTAGGATGACATGGCAAAAGGCCGAATTCAAGCTTATTGAAATTTGTTCCTTTGTCTTAAGGAAACAGTGTTCTTCACACTGCGTGCTTGATTCGGCTATATCAAGCGGCAGGCCAGCACCCTTCTCCTCAGCAGGAGTCTGGGGGAGACAGGAAAGGCGGGGCTCGCAGGTTAGGCTCTGCCGGGAACCCCTGTTGCACTGTCACTGTGGCAAGAAGCCGGTAGGAATCCTTGCAGCATACGACAGAAAATAACGAGGTCCGAGCCCCGGCCAGGAGCAGCCCCTACACCTCAGACCCGCTGTAACCCGCGCCGCCTGGCTCGAGTCGTGTCTGAGGGCAGCCTCTTTCCCGCCGCGCTCGCCGCCTGCCCCCATTGGCTGCGGCGCCCTCGCGGCCCACCGACACGCAAGACCCCCCGCCCAGCCCGCTACTGGTGCATCTTGCGGCAGCTACCGCCCCGCGCGCCATGAAACACACCCCTCCCTCCCGCCTCTCGTTTCAGCCAATGACGTCATGGAAGACGCAGCACTCCCACACACGCCACCGATTGGTTGAGGGAACCGCCCGTAAGGCCGGTGGCCCCACCTCTCGAGTAAGAGGGAAAACACCCGAGGGACGCGACTAAGCACAAGATGGCGGCGCTGGCTGGGGGCCAAGTCACAGGCGGGGCCGGCGCCGC